GGAATACCCATTTGCTACAGATGCAATCAGCATTCAGCAATAGAGGAAAAGGTGGTCTGAAAGAGGGCTGGGCCACCTTTGTAGATTGTGCATCGCTAATGCACAGCTCAGATTATCATTGGATGTGTTCTGCAGAATTGGTGAGTGGTGGAACTGAGCAGGCCTGGTTTAGTGAACTAAAAATGCTCTGATATGCCACAGAGTCATCTACTCAATGAGCAGAGCTCTGTGGCAGGTAATCTGATGTGAAAGAGTAAAGAAATTCAAGGTAAAGAAACTGACGAATGACAGAGGACCTCCTCATTGCTGCCCCCCCCCCCAATTGCCAGCACCATTTGGCCATCACTTTCAAGGCAAAACAGAGCTTCTGAATGCTTGTTTCAGTCAAATTAAGCTAGACTCCTTTTCAGATAGAGAAAAACCTAACATTTCTCCTTATTAAACTGCCTAACAGCACAGTTGTTTGTACATTAATAGCACTTTAAAAAAATGCTTACATTTCTCTCATCCACATTCTTCCTTTTATACCATTTGGTACAGTAAGTGCTCATCTGGCAAGGCTTTCTTCATTATCTTCTCCATATTTCTACTTAATATGCTCACCTGACACATTTAAGGTCTATTAACCATTTTAACTGTGATATGATTCCTCTCTTTTTTTTAACCTTCCTCTTAATTTTTTGTATTTTATCATCACTTCAGCAATAGGTAATTGCTGGAACTTTGCCCCTGAACAACTACAGATCTGAAATAGACTATTCAAACTTTTAAAGAGTGCTGTCACTTTTTTCAGGCAACCAACTAAAGAGTTAAATATCCAGAGAAGGCAGATAGTCCTGGACGTTCTAAAATAAAACTAGGATGGGGGTGTGAGTTCAGCTTATTATACTGCACTTGCTGAACACTTAATTGTCAGGCTTAATTGGTACCATTACCCATTATGAATTCCAATTAAAAATGATATCAACAATAGAGGAAGCAAATTAAGAGTCAATTTTGCTCTTTCTGTGTGTGTACCATATATGAAGACAGAGAGGGGGAGAGGGAGGGAGTTGCTGAGCTGGGGGACAGACCAGGGTTCAGATCTTTGCTTAGCTGTTTGAGGCAGACTCTCTCTGTCTCTTGCAGCCTCAATTCTTCTTGAATGATCTGTTGCACAAGCTTGTTGCCCAAACTAATAGTACTTATTCTAAGGCATAAAAAGGCCAGTGGAGATTGCTAATAATAGCTGTTTCTTTGTTGCAGAAAGCAGTGTGTTGACAATGGTAGCCAGCAACAATAATGGCAAAAAAATGACCCCTGCACTCCGAATAAGTCAGCTCGATGCCCTTGAACTAAACAAAGCCTTGGAGCAGCTGGTTTGGTCCCAGTTTACTCGATGCTTTCATGGATTTAAACCTGGACTGTTGGCTCGCTTTGAACCAGAAGTTAAGGCATTTCTTTGGCTTTTTTTGTGGAGATTCACCATCTATTCTAAGAATGCGACAGTGGGACAGACTATTCTGAACATTCAGTACAAGAATGACTTATCCCAGAAGCAAAACTACCAGACACTAAGCAAGCACCAGAAACTATGGTATCTTATTTGCACTGTTGGTGGTAGGTGGCTGGAAGAAAGGTGTTACGATTTGTTTAGCAATCGTCCTTTGGAGTCTTTCCGGAAGACCAAGTATTTTATTAATTTAGCAGTTGGACTCCTCAAACTTTGTGAATTACTGAACTTCCTGGTTTTTCTTCGGAAAGGAAAGTTTGCTACCCTCACTGAGCGTATTTTAGGAATCAGGTCTGTGTTCTGTCAGCCTCAGAGTATTCGTCAAATTGGATTTGAATACATGAACAGGGAACTCTTGTGGCATGGGTTTGCAGAATTTCTCATTTTTCTTTTGCCCCTTATTAACATGCAAAAACTCAAACTCAGGCTTTCTTCTTGGTCATTAGCTGTTGCAGGATGTTCCAGTAAGGAAAGTTCTTTGGCAGCAGGTAGTAAGGAATGCTGTCTCTGTGGAGAATGGCCAACTATGCCTCATACTATTGGCTGTTCACATGTGTTTTGTTACTACTGCCTTAAAAGTAACTACTTATTTGATATGTATTTTACCTGTCCTAAATGTGGCATGGAAGTGCATGACCTGCAGCCATTAAAACACAAGATAGAAATGAAAGAGGTATCCACTTAGCCTTTTTGAGGATTCCCCTAAATCCGTAAACACACTTTGTGAAATATACCAAACTGCCGTACAGTGATAGTTAAATACAGCATTGCCTGTTAATTTCACCTCTTTTAAAGATTAATATAAAATATTTTAGCACTGTTTGTAAAAATGAGCAGGTTTTGTAAAGAAATGGTTGTTGATTGTGTCCAATTTTATTTATACTCCCAGACCTGAAGGTATGAAAGCAATAACCCCTTTAAGGCAGCTGACACTCCATTCACATTTGCTGCCACCAGTGCAGATAAACCTGGTGTAGTGCAATCACCTGGATGCAAACCAAATGGGTTGTTTCAGTGAAGTGCACTTTGCCATGAACTGGGGAGCTGCTTCACACAATTTGTTTCCTGTTTTAGTGCGGCCCTTGCAAGGGTGGCATTACAAGCATGCTGTAATCATCAGTGAATCAGGCCTGATTTGCAGATTCTTTGGATCCAGTTCACAAATTCCATTGTGGTGATATGATCCCGCAATACCATTGTGCCAGTTTGACTTGGGACATTTTGCAGCCACTTACATGGGATATTTAAGGCAACTTCACCTTGTACTAAAGAAGCATACAGGCTTCCTAGACTGCTAACTAAAGTACTCTCTACAACAAAAGTCTGTTGCAGTGCAATCCTGTGTCAAGTTCCTCCAGTCTAATCCTGTTGATTTCCTGTGTGGAGTTCCTCTAGTCTAAAATAGTTTATTTCAATGGGCTTAGACTATTGTAACTGTACATGGGATTATATATTCTCCACACAGTACTGTGACCCACATTTCAAACCATAGTGAACAATATTGTCTGGGTTTTGTAGAGGTTACCCTGAATATAATCCAGTACTATCGCATAAGAGTAAGTACTGGAGCAGTTTTGTAGCTTGCAAAAGCTAGAATGTTTTGCATAATCTTCACCTTGAGAAATTTTGTTCAAAATCAGGCTTGTAAAAATAAATATTTTCTTAGATTCCTGTTTTCAAAGAGGAGGAAAATAGCCTGTCTCCATTGGCCTCTTCATACTCTGACAGTTATCACAGGATCATGGCTTTATCCATATAGTGAACTGACTCTCTGTTGATGTATGACAAACATTGAAGGTGGGCATAAATGACAGTATGATAGCAAGGAACTTACTCTTCAGGAGGAGTTTTCCTCAACAGTAACATTGTAAAGAAGGTAAAACCACACCCTTGACTGCCTTCCAGTTAAATGATTTAATTTGGATTTTAATTGCTGTTGTATACTGTATTCCAGCAGCTGACAGTGTAACCTAACAAAGATTTATAGACTTGATGAGCTAAACAAAAATGGCTGAATAAAGAACTTCTTTTCACATGAAACCTTGTTGTTAAGTTTATTTTTTCATTGAAGATCTGTGCACAGCAAAGAACTGAAAACAAAACACTTTAAGTTATGATCATCGCCTTAATATTTTGTAAGTGCTAGTCTGTACCCTACCACTCTGTCTAGCAAAGTCTGAAGTGTTCTACAGCAGGAAAGTAATTTAAGTTGATGGAAGCTCTTCAGGCTGGAGAAAGGCTTCAGGTTTTGCAGAGCGCCATGGTAGTATGTGTGCCGCTTTCTCCGTGTGATTGCTGTGTGACCTTGGGCCAAGCTTCCTGTTCTAGAATTCTGTTCCTTGTTCGCCACACCCAGCTTCCATTTGCAGTGGTAGTGTTAACTAAAACTATCTGCTTTCTCGTTAGTCACAAGAAGTGTCAGTGCCAAATTAGCCGTGGAACAGACCACTACCAAATCCAGTGAGTTTCATTGTTTCTGTGCTGCTTACAGCACATTTCTAATATTTCTAATATTAAGATGCTGAACTGCAGGCTGTGGTTCTCAGTCCTTTTAGCACTTGTGTCTAAGAAATAAGTGTCTTCTGCTGCTCAAGATTAATGAATCAATGAGCTTCTAAGGGTACAAAAGGAAAAGCAAAGGAATATTAAGTTACATTTATAATGCTGCTGTGGTTTTTATTCATTTGAACCAACTAAATATTCAAGGCCTTGTGTAATTTTCTTACCTGAAGGCCATTACTCCATAAGAGAAATCCAAGTGGAGCCTTTCTAACTGCTTGGTTGAGAATATTCAGGGAAACCTGATAAAAGTAAGATTTACTTTTTGTTGACAATGCAGAACCATGTAGTAATTGAAACTGTTGCAAAAATTTTGTATGAAGTTTTAAGAAGATGTTCAGTATTCTTTGGAAACTGAGTTGTATGCTCTGTAGGTTATGCCAATAAAGGCTGCTTGATTGAACTGCTTTAGGTATTTGAAGAAAACAGTAAGAGAGGAATCAGGAGTGACTTGCATGCCCTCTTCTGATTCTTCCTGGTCTCTACCAAAGGGCACATATCTCCCCTTCATACAAATATCAAAAGCCTTATTAAGCATTTCTTCCTGAGTATGACTTTACTATACGTTCGGTGGTATGCATTCAGCACATGACCATATCTACTTGCAGTCTGCACAGTTCAGAATTCTACCACTGAGTCTATTGTCTCATTCTGTGTAATGGGTAGAAGGATGCAAGGGGGTTGGAGAAAACTCTCTCCTCAATATGCAAATAATTTGCATGTGACTTGACCTGAGGTGAGACAGGGTGCTGAGGTGACTGGAATTTGAATTGGAGTTTCACACATTCAGCCCCTAAGCTGTGCTAATCATTTGTAACTTTCTCAGGGATAGAATGGGTTACCACTCTACACAAACATTTCAGAAAGAAAGAAAGACCCTTGAAATAACTTTTCCCCAATATATGCAACATGGCCATTGAACTTTTAAAAGTGTTATGAAACTTACGAAGCAGCTTTGTACCAAAAAAACATTGATCTATCTACTTCAGGAATGTACTCTGAGTGGCAGTCTCTCTCCAGGTCTTGGGTAGAGAACAGTGTTCCCCAACACCACCTGCTTGACATTCTTAAGTAGAGATGGGTGGAATTGAACCTGGGACCTTCTGTGCACAAAATGTATGCTGTAATATGAAGTCACAGGACCTCTGAGAACTAAAACTTCCTTCAGCCACTGTCTTTGTATGATTTAATCTAATGTGTGCTCCTCAGTAATTTTAATAATATTAAGAAATTGAATGACTCCTTCTATGCCATTGTGTATTTCTTTGTGCTATTAACTGATCATTTCACACACTGTGACCTCAACATAGCTTGAAAGAAACTCTCCCGATTGCTGTGAGATAAATAAACAAAGAATTAAAGGTGGCAGTTGTTAGTACCATACCACAAAGGACAGGGCTACTAAGGTCCAATTTCAGAATACAGCATAGGCATGTTTAATTCATTGCTTTGAAGAAATTAGTGTTTGCATTTAAATTGAATTGAGGCAATGCAAGGATGAGGAAAGCAAAAGGATAGCTAGATGAAGATGGTGAAATATTTATAGATTTCTAAGGTTACAGAGGCTGAACTTACCTTGTCTGATCTCCTATATCACACCAGCTTAATGAATGGAGACTTGTAAATATATAAATGAGTAAACTTGATTCTACAAACGGCTCATTAATAATCGTGCACTTTTATTTGGATTACAGTGTGAGTGGCATTCAATGTTTGCCTAAGCCCCATCTCTTCTGCAGGCTGCCCAGTGTAGTGATTTAAAGTCTTCAAAATATTATAGGTTCTCTGAATATAATCTTCATATATGTTGGAGAATCCTTAAAGACTGTTTTGCACATAACAGATCAAGTTTGATGATATATTTATGACACAACATCTGTTTTCCTGGTACCTACTCCTATGCATTTCAGGTGCCAAAGTTTCTTTTCCCAGGGTTTTTGGCCTGCCTTCTTAACTTGCAAATATTATGTTGCTGTTGGGTGGTCAGTTATATTGCTCCTTGTTTTGTTCAACTTTTTGGGTATTTTAATGTTTGTTGTAATATTATGGATTTAGATTGATCTTTTAAATGTATTTACAGTTGTGCTTTATTGTAACACTAGTCGCAAAGCTCGTTGTAAAAGGAATACAACGAATGCTAGCAAGATGTATAAAATGTACCAGCTTACCAACCTGGCATCAGAACAGTGTGCAACATCAGAGCAAGAAGGAGCGCACAGACACTGGCTGGAGTAATACAGGGCTCAGCAACACAGCCACCAGGCAAGAGAAAGGGGACTATCTGTCTTATTGGCTTGGCAGGCAACAAAGGCAAACTCCAGGGACAGCCAATGTGTGTGTATGGGGGGGTTATCACCTTTTCTGTTGTCTCCTTGCAGGGGCTCAATGTAAAACAGATAGCATTTAAAGAACTACAGGAGAAAAGGGGAAATGGTAACAAAGGCTTTAAGTGTCTTGTATTCTCAACAGCAGTACAACTTTTAACTCTGCTAATGCAATATGATAGACATGTACTAAGGCTTGTAAAGCGTTTTTGCTTGTATTCTTGGGTTTGGGGAAGGATCTCAGTGGGGTGAAATGCAACAGTGTCTACCTTCACAAAGCGACTGTGTTCTCCAGGGGAACCGATCCATGTAGTCTGGAGATCGTTTGCATTTCCGGGAGGTCTGTAGGCCCCACCTAGGGCTTGGCTCGCTTAGAGCCAGCGGCCAGCAGCCCCATCTTGGGCTGTTTCTTCCCCTCCCTCCCTCCAGCCAGCCAGCCAGTGAGGCAATCTGGGAGCCAGCTGGTGGCCTGTCCTCTCAGGAGGGAGGAGGCGGACAAGGGGCATCCATGGGGAGGTGGTGGCAGCAGGTGCGTCTTCGTGCATGGCGGTGCAGAGGATGGAGGTGGCGGCAGCGCACAGGATGGCGGCCCTGTGGGGCCTGGCCACCTTGCAAGTGGAGCGGTGGCTGCTGGACGTGACGCTGGTGGCAGGCAGTGGGTGGGAGTTCGGGGTCCACTGGTCCATGCTGGCAGCAGCCTCAGGCAACTTCCCCATCCTGTTCGGCAGGGCTCTGTGGGAGGCGTGGCTGGAGCGGGCGTGGCCGCATGGCATGGAGCCCAAGTGCCTGGTGCTGCTGCTCAACTCTGGCCACACGGGCCTCATGGCATGGCTGGGGCCGGAGCTGGGCGAGCGCCTCCTGAGCACCACTGACCTGCTCCAGTTCCCGGCTGTCAAGGAGGCATGCGTTGCCTGGATGGCAGCATGCCTGGAGCTGCCCACAGCGCTGGGAAGTCAAGAGTTTGGCGAGACCTTTACCTGGCTGCATTGGGTGCCTGCATTGCCTGAGTCCCGGTGGAGCGTCCATCCCCTTCGACGACTCCCTCCAGACTGAGGGTGAGATCCTGGCCACCAGCTGTGTGGGCAGGGCTCAGGCCACGCAGCCACCCACCACAGCCAGGGGATTGGCAGACATCTGAGTGGCAGATTTGGCTCCCAACCAATTTTGGAGCGCATCGAACGTTGCCAGACGAAAAGGGAATTATTACATAGGAGAGATGTCTTGAACTTTTTTGTTGAAGATTGCCATACAAATACATCACATAAATAAAACTATCTCTTTGGGAGTGATTTGAAAGTTCTGTGGTCTACATGAGAATGAGCAATCACAGCTTTTGTTTTCTCTTGGGGCTGAAAAAGCAATATTTGTTTCATTGTAGTTATATGTGTCACCTAAGCACTGGGATACACAAATCTGGAGCAAGACGGAAGAAAAAAGAAGCAAGAAGGATGGTCCTTCCTTTTGTTTCACCTCCAATGGCTACTGCATTTTGGAGAAGTGAGGTGGTGTTCTAATATTGGGTTAGGATTTTGGAGACCCTGGTTGAAGTCCCTCTGGTCATTGAAGCTTGTTGGGTGATCTTTAGCCAATCATTCACACTCATGCTAACCTACTTTATGGGATCATTGTGAGAGAAGAACGATGTAAGCTATTGTGAGTCCCCATTAGGGAGGAAAGTAGTGGGTATGAATCAAGTAAATAAATAAATGAAAAAGTGGCCTGTATCCTAGCACTCTGCTCAGCAAACTCTGAAGCCTTTCTCAGAGGCTTCCTGGAACAACTCTTGGCTCTCTTAACATAATAAATTGTTGGGAATTTAATAGAGCCCGCCTGCCTGTTTTTATATTTGTTTTCTTTTTAAAATATTTCTCCTCATTCCCTGGGAAATAGCATTTATCCCAGCCAATCAAGTGAGTTGCCTTGGCCAATCACACAGTCTTTCTTGGAGGGGAGGGAAATTTCAAAGTGCTGCCATCCATTACGTTGGCCATTTTGCGCCCCATGTGTTCTCTGTTCACAGCTGCTTGTGGAAGAGATCTTGCTTGGATAATGCTAGACCCCCCAGCCAGCTGGATCCTGCCTCTACAAGTGCTAGTCTGATTATTATT